TTACAGTGTCCTTCATTATCTTGCATGTATTTTCCTCTCTAGGTTTGTCTTTTGTTATTACTCCCTCACCCACTGATCCCAGCCATGGTGAACTACTTTTAGTTTCACCTAATCACCTCCAGGTTTTACACATATTTGGTTGTTGTTTTTTTATGTAGTCTTTTTTTTCACCCCCATTTCATTCATTTTTTTCATCCATCCATCTGTCCATCCATCCATCTATCCATCCATCCATCCATCCATCTAAACATCTCTTTCTTTCTTTTTGCTTGTTTGTTTGCTGGAAACACTCTTCACCTGGTAAATTTCTACTTCTCTATAAAACTTTTCACCACTGATACATTTTTAAAATTTTATGTTGCTTTACTTCCCTCGCCTTACCACTAGACTATAAGCTCCTTGAAAACAGGGACTTTGAGTATTTTATTCATTGATATATTGAAGTGCCTATAATGATGCTTGCCACATAAAAACCCCTAAATCAGTATTTGTTGATGAATGAGTGAATGAACGACTAAATGAAACCTCACTCTTGGAAATCTCTGACCACTTCCTAATGTATCTTCCTACATGGTGTCTTTACAGGCAATCCCCAACACACTCACATCCCTTACATACAAATAAATGGTCCCTGGCGTCACGCAAACTGGGGAGATTGATTACCATTAAATTATTGGTTGAAATGCCCTCCCTTTACTTTATTCCTACCTTCCCCCTAAAGTCAGTGCTTATAGGATTACTCTACTCATTTTTTATCATTTCCCAGAGGCGGAATAGAATCAGTGAAAATAATGTTGTAAGAAAGGCTATATCCCTCTTTTTAGTATTCTTCCTTCGCAAGCACTGTTTTCTTGATCACGTGTTAGTCCCAGTGATACTCTAGATTTTATTCCATCTCCTCAATATCATTCATTAATTCATTTTTTAATCTTTTTTACATCTTTATTGGTGTATAATTGCTTTACAATGGTGTGTTAGTTTCTGCTTTATAACAAAGTGAATCAGTTATACATATACATATGTTCCCATATCTCTTCCCTCTTATATCTCCCTCCCTCCCACCCTCCCTATCCCACCCCTCTAGGTGGTCACAAAACACCAAGTTGATCTCCCTGTGCTATGTGGCTGCTTCCCACTAGCTATCTATTTTACATTTGGTAGTGTATATATGGCCATGCCACTCTCTCACTTTGTCATAGCTTACCCTTCCCCCTCCCCATATCCTCAAGTCCATTCTCTAGTAGGTCTGTACATAATATTAAAATGATCATTTTAACCATTTTTCAATGTACAGTTCAGTGACGTTAAGCACATTCACAATGCTGTGCAACCATCTCCACCATCCATCTCTACTTTACCCATTAAACAATAACTCATATTCCTCCCACCCACTAGTCCCTGGCATCCACCATGCTACTTTCTGTTTCTTAGAATCTGACTGCTCTAGGAACCTCATATAAATGGAATCATAAAATATTTGTCCTTTTGTGACTGACTTATTTCGCTTAGCATAGTGTATTCAAGGTTCATCCATGTTATAGCATGTGTCAGAATTTCCTACCTTAACACAATATTCCTCAGTATGTATATACCATATTTTGTTTATCCACTTATTTATAAATGGACTCTTGGGTTGCTTCCACATTTTGTTTATTGTGAATAATAATGCTGCTCTGAACATGACTGTACAAATATCTGTTCAGGTCCCTGCTTTCTCTTCTTTTGGGTATATAATAAGAAGTGGAATTCCTGAATTATGTGGTAATTCTGTGTTTAATTTTTTAGGAATTGCCATACGGTGCCTCAAGGGTTATGGTTTGCACCTCTGTGTACTGTCTGTGTCCCTCCAGCTCTACACTGAAACCACCCTTTCTCTGTCTCCCTCTGTCCCCTTTCTCTCTCTTTCTGTCTCTGTCTCTTTCTCCCTCACACACACAAATACACACACATACTGTCCTACAATATGTAAGTAAAGGAGAAAAATAGTGAATGGAGGGGAAGATAATAGGGAAATCTGTTTTCCTTCATCATGGTTAGAAGTAAAATCTCTTCACATCAGAAGAGTTATGGATTATTTGAGAAATAAGACCATAATGGAAAAGCTGTGACACTGCTCTTGTGTATCAGAGAGAGAGGTGCTTTGATTGTTCCATCAACCTCCTTCTGACTCCAGCCTCAGTCCCTCTGGAGTTTATCAGTGTTCCACTGTGAGTGCCACTGTAGTCATGCCCTTCTCTTAATTCCTGTATCATCCATATAACCTGCCACACAATTTGTATTTGATTTTCTCCTTTATGATTTAAAGAGTGTTACTCTTGTCTTCCTATGTCCTTCAAGACAGAGACAGTATTTTATATTTCTCTTATATACCACACAGTGCAAAGAAAATTCCTGTGTATTGTGCCCTCATTAAATCCTTATTACTAACAGATTGAGTTTCAGGATTCTACTAGCAGCAGTAAGTTAAGAACCATTTTGTTGCTATGAGCTAATCTCACTTCCCTAGTACTGCTTTTCAATTTAATCACTAAAATAGTTTTTAATAACTTCATCTAAATGTTTGGCTAGTCATGTTGCCATATATTTAATAGATATTTTTGATAGTCTTTGAGGATTTCTTTCAAACTTTTAATCGAATTTGCTATTTGTTGTAGTGAAAGTGAAGGCTCTTCTGCCTGAGCCATTTTATAGTAGTTGGCCAAAGTTCAATACATTCTGAATTTTTCTTGATTTGGGGTTTTTATCTTTGGCGATACAAAATTCTGTGTATTCCAAATTACAAGTGCTATACTTTTCTCCATATTAGAGGGTTTTATAAGTAATTGGCTGGGTTTGTCTTCTCCAATTTCTTTAGCCAGTACATTTCCTCATGTACTTCTCATAATTTACCTGTTGTTGTTGTTTAAATGAATATTTTGCGTTTTTTAGGCATTTTTAAAGTGTCTGAAACATGAAAATCTGACATGTATTTTGTATTATCTACTTAACAACTCCATGGCAAAGCTGCCAACATGAAATGGCTGGGATAAAACTAAAATTTAACCTATATTGAAATAAAACAATAAAAGCATTCTTAAAGACTGTTGAAGCTATCACATTTAATATATTTTGCTGTAAACTTTGATGATGCAGACATTTTATGAAATATTGATACTTTTCTTTGTTTCTAACAGAGCAGTTTAGATAAATGGATGACTCAATAATTTGCAAAACATTTTAACATGCTAGGGAAGAACTTTTCAAAGTAGAAGAAAGGAAGTGAGCATTCTCAGAAGGCATTACTAAATGTACCATGTTACTTACTACTCTAGATTGATTTACTTTAGCCATAAAATTTGATTAAAATGACCCCAGAAATGATAGAAATCAGCTGTGTTACATACTAAATTTTGACTCCAAGTTATTAGAAATAGCAAACTAAATTATACCTACTTTACAAATCATTGAAATCCTAAAAATGCTGAAAAGTTAAAATAGCAACAAAAAAATTTAAAGATGTTTAAAAGAAATTAGTATAAACAGAAAAATTCCCACATGAAATGCTGAAATTTGAGAAAATGATAAGATGTAATTTTCTGAATATAAGACTAAATACCCTGTGATCCTTAAGATTAAACATCCATTGATATTTTTTATTGTTCTTCAAGGAAAACACTTAATACATACTATTAAGACAAAATGAAAACTAATCAAATGCAACTTTGCAGATATTTTCAAAATTGCTAAAAACTAATACCTAATATAAATAAGCTTTTAATAAATCTGTAAGTTTAGGGCACTGAATATTAGTAAATTATTTTATTTAAGGAATCTAGAACCAGTTAGTGTGTAATACGTGGATACATTTAAGTTACTTCTTGACTACAGGACTTGTTTATACAAATGAAATGCTCTTTTCAATAGAACTAACGTATTATAAACACTTCATTTATTGAAAGCATCAAACTCAACAGTGTGCAATGCTCTGTGCATTTGTTCCCAGACTTTAATTTGCGAATGAGCCACCTGAGGATCTTTTTAAAATATAGATTCTGATTCATTAGGTCTGGGGTGGGGCCTGACATTCTGCATTTCTGACAAGCTCCCAGAGGATGCTAATGCATCTGGGGATGACACTTCTCTGGGGATGACACTCAGAGTAACAAGGCTGTAAAGAATAGAAAATATCCAGAACAAAATTAAAATTAACAATGTGTTTAGATTTCTCTGTTTTCACTGGCTTCATTTCTTTAATTTGCTGATTTACTTTTGATGCCAGGGATATTTCATATCAATTTATTAAATTTTATTTAAGCATATGTTAAGATTAATAATTTTATTTTATTTTATAATAACTTCTGAACTTATAATGTTAAACATCATTTGATTACATTACTTTTTAAGTTGGAGAGGTTGGTGTAAGACTGGTGGGCTGTAGTTAGCTCTGATACTCATTTAGCAATGTGACCTTAGGCAAGTTACTCAACTCCCTGAGCCTATTTCAAATATTTGCTTTTAGAAATCAGAGTTTATTCTTCAAATCACCACTAGTGAAACCAGGCGGGGTGATCTGGAACCACAACGTTAGAAGCAAAACCATCATACAATAATTTGAGTAATATCAGCAGAAGAATGCTAGCTAACAGTAGAGGAAAACATCTATTTTGTTTGATTGGTCGTGTTCCTTTTGTTAGTTTTAAGTTTTCAGTTGGTTCTGAAGATACTGTTTTTTGGAATTATGGTCCTTTTTTCCTAATAGATATGAAGGCATTTTTGCACATAAATTCTGTGCAAAAACTTGGCACTTAAAATTTGTTCTTCATCCTGGCATTACCTATTCACCATCTTTACAGTGAACTGATAAGCACTTAATTTTCATGAGTCAGTGGCGTGCGGTGTTGATAAGCTGAATACCAATTTCAAACTACTTTATTTTTTTTTAAATTTAGTTGCTTTAAACCTTGGTTTTGAGTATTTATTTTTATGCAAATAGTAAAAGAAACATTGTTTCCTGTTTTTAGAATCAAGTCACTTGGAACAGCAACTTGAAGAAGCTAATTCTGTGAGGCGAGAACTAGATGATGCTTTTAGACAAATCAAGGCTTATGAAAAACAAATCAAAACATTACAGCAAGAAAGGGAAGAATTAAATAAGGTAAAAATACACAGATAGATTGTTAAAGCCTTTTCTGAATTCTTAATCTTGTTTAATTTGTATACTGAAAACATTCATAAGGAATTACAATAATATATAGTATACTTTGTCTGTAAAAAGATGGTTTAAAAATTTAAGAATTATTTTGGTGTATGACATTTGATGAATGGCTAGTTATGAAGAAACTTCTAAATTTTCGAGGCTTCAAAGTTCAGAATCTTTTGTTCTTTTGGAGAGTTAATAATCAAAGGGCTTGATTAAAAGTGAATGTTATTGAAAAAGAAATATTACGAAGAAGTGAGAGAATAGTAAAAATCTGTTTAGTGTCTATGGAAGAGTGAAAAATACAGGCATATTTTCATTGTGACTTGCTAATATGAACATTCTTTAAAGATTATGATAGAAAATTTCTTTAATTCTTTAATCTTTTTTTAGATGTCAGTTTATCTTTCAAAGCATGGATGAATAAGCTGAAGTTACTTTCATAAGAACTTTGTGAACATGTAAATATTACTATAAACATCAACAACATTTATTAATAGCTAGGACACAGTAACAGTCCAATAGGATATATAATATTCGAGCACTAGAGAAAAATACTTTACATAAATGATATGCTGTGTGTACTTTGACTTTCATTAACAAATTTTAGAATGTTGGAATTAATACTAGCCAATGCAAAAAAGAAATGAGTGGTTTATGGCATAGTATAAATTGTATTCAATGATGTTGTATATAATTCATTGATAAAACAGATGAAGTCCTTCTGGGGAAGACTTATAAGTCTTGCTGCCTGTAAAGAAATGGAGGTAATTAAAAATAAAACAAATAACCTTTTGCCGATGAAGCTAATCAAAAAGATTAACAGAGAAAGCTATGAAGGTCAAAGTGAATTAGATTAGTATATTTTTACTTTTTTCTTGATGCGCTTTCAAGCAGTGTTTTGTATAGATTCATTTATATTCATGGTCAATTTAATAATATTTGGAATTTGTAACAGACATCCTATTTGTTTTAATAATATTATATTAATAGTTACTATTATGTATTTAAAGGTAGGATTACTCAGCCAAACTTGGTTAACATAATAAGGATGAGCATCTGATATCTAGATTTATAGTAACAGGTACTTGGCGAATTTTTAATAAGTTTTAGTATTAAAAATCCTTTCAGTATATTTTGAGAAGAGGGTAGTACTGAAATGAAACACATCATATTGATAAAGAATTTTAAATGATTTGCCTGATATCCTACAGGCAGCAGATATTCTTTTCAGGATTTTTTTCATTTGATGCATATAAAAAATAAATGTAACGTTTTATAAGTTTTGACGCAAATAATAAAATGAACCAAACATCCAACTTAAGAAATAGAGCGTGACCTATTTTGTGACATAGACCTGGGTAGTCATTTCCTATTCCTTTCTCATCACTTCCCTGACAATGGTAATCACTGTTCTGAATTTCATGTTAATCATTCCCTTGCTTAAAAATATTCTATCACATATTAGTGTATCTCTAAACAGTATATTAGTGTTGGCTTTTTTTGAGCTTTGTAAAATGGTATATGCAGTCTTTTGCAATTTGCTTTTTTCACTCAACGTTGTTTCTAAGATTTGTCTGTATAGCTGTTGATCATTTATTTAGTTGCTATAAAATGCACCATTATGTCAGCACCCACAATTTACTTACCTAATTTTTTGTTTGCAGACATTTAGGTTGCTTATAATTAATAGCTACTATACATGATGCTGCTATGATCATTCTTGAACATATATCCAGACACACACACACACACACACACACACACACACACACACACACACACAGAGGAATAGAATAATTGGGTCATACGCAATGGGAATATTGTATTTTTTATGATGATGTCAGATCATTTTCCACTGCTTTTACCAATTTATACTCCTACTGGTGGTGCACAGGAGTTTTTATATTCAGCTACTTCATATTACTATAGATATATTAGTTTTGGCCAACCTAATCTAAGTTGACATTTTAGGTCTAAAATGATGTTTTAGTGTGGTCTTAATCTGCATTCTCTAATTACTAATGAGGCTGAGTATCGTCACACATGTCCATTTATCATTTATATTTCTTCTTTTGTGAAATGCTTCTTAATATACTTTATACATTTTTCTGTTGGGTTGTTTGTCTTTTCCTTATTGGTTTGTAAGAATTTTCTGGACATGCTAATCTTTTATCGATTATGTATGTTACAGATATCTCCCAGGTAGTTGGCTTGTCTTTTCATTTTGTTTACGGGAGCTTTTGACTAACAAAAGTCTTTAGTCTTAATGTAGTCAAATTCATCGATCTTCATTTTTATGATTATTGCATTTGCCGGCTTATGTAAGAAATCTGAGGTAAAAAACAATTCTCCTAAATTTTTATCTTGAAGTTTTTAAGTTTGGTTTTCTTATTTAATTTTTAATGCATCAGAAATTTATTTTTGTGTATCATATGAGATAAGGATCCAATTTCACTTTTTCCTATATGGCTAGCCAGTTGTTCATTTACTAAATAGGCCCTCATTCCCTTAGTGATGTGCAGTGTCACCTCTGTCATATATTAAATTTCCATTTATGCATGGGTCTATATCTCAACCCTCTACTCCTTGAAAACTGTGATGGGATTTTGATTAAAATTGCATTAAATCCATAGAGCAATTTCAAGAGAACTGACATCATTATAACATTGAGTCTTTACGTTCTTATCCATGTTTATTAATATCCTTCTAAATGCACACAAGATTTCAAGAGCAAGGAAAGATTATTACGATTTACATTCAGAAAAGCAAAACAAAACATAAACCAGGTGGCTTTCCTGTATGCCCGTTCTTACCCTTTAGGGCAACACAATGAGAGCTGGTTGGATAAAACCCTACACATATGGAGACTGTATGGTCGAGAAAGAGCCCCGAAATAGTGAATCAGGAGATTCATAGAGGAGAGAGGCAGATGCTTCCTGCTTCCCCTCTATCTCTACCCACCTTTCTGCGGGTCTCCTTGGAAACCTTAAGAGAAGGATCTAGGACTCTTTGTTATATAAGTAAGTCACTCCGGTGGAAAGATGTGTCCAAGTCTCCAGCTCTATAAAGAGATTTTCTCTTTGGTACAGGCTCTTATCTCTCTCTCCACCCCTCCTTGAAATGTAAACACATAAGTCCAGGAGTTAAATCTCTTTGGAGTTTTCTCACTATGTATCTAAATTAGTCATAAATTACTTTACAAGGCTTGCTCTTAACCCATGTTCCAAGTTTCAGTAAAATTTGCTTAGAAAGGCCTAACTGTACAAAAACATAAAATTATTTTCTCTGCTGTCCCACAGTCTTTTTATCCACAAACATGGTATGTCACTCTGTATCGTTAAAGTATTTTAAAATGTTTCTCTATAAAATTCTATACAGGTCTTGTTTGCCTTTCCTTAAATTTATGATTGTAAGTTTTCATATTTTAAATGGTACCTTGAAAATTATACTTTCTTACTGATTCTGTTCTAGCAACATTGCTAAACTCTTATTAATTGTAATAATATATTTGAGATTCTTTGAGGTTTTATGAAATAGTGACAGGTTTTTTTTTTTTTCCCTTTTTTTTTTTTTTTTTTTTTACTTTTCTTTCTTTCCTTGTCTTACTGTATAAGCTAGGACCTCAAATACAACATTCAATAGAAGTGATGATAGCAGGCATCCCTATCTTATTCCTGATTTCTAAGAAAATAATAATGTTTTCTGTAAGTTTTTGGTAAATGCTTTTTATCAGGTTAAGAAAATTATCTTCTATTCCTATTTTGCTACTCATTTTTATCAAAAATGGGTATTGGCTTTATTAAATGTGCTTTTTTTGCACAGTATTGCAACAAATTTCTAGAAATTTGTTAATATCTATTGATGGAATTATATGATTTTTCTCCTTTAATAAATTGGTTTGGGGCTTCTGTGGTGGCACAGTGGTTAAGAATCCGCCTGCCAGTGCAGTGGACACGGGTTCAAGCCCTGGCCCGGGAAGATCCCACATGCCGCGGAGCAACTTAGCCCGTGCACCACAACTGCTGAGCCTGTGCTCTAGAGCCCGTGAGCCACAACTACTGAAGCCCGCACACCTAGAGCCCATGCTCCACAACAAGAGAAGCCACCGCAATGAGAAGCCCGTGCACCTCAGCGAAGAGTAGCCCCCACTCGCTTCAACTAGAGAAAGCCCGGGCGCAGCAACAAAGACCCAACTCAGCCAAAAATAAATAAAAATAAATTGGTTTGATGACTTACATTTATAAACTTTTTCTAACGTTAAACCATTTTTACTTTTCTGGGTTAAAACTGAATTACCCATGTATTCTCTCCTAAATATTAATATGATAGAACAGTTACGTTGCATCTGTTCTAATAGTACTGTTTTAAGTGCTTTACATTTATTAGCTCGTTTAATCTTTTAAAGAACCCTGTGATTTAAGTATTAGTAGTAGCAGCAGCAGCAGCAGCAGCAGCAGTGGTAGTAGTGTTTTTATTTTATAAATGGTGAGATCCCACACAGAGAAGTTAGGTACATTTGCTCAAGATCATAGGGCTAGAAAGTGGGGGAATTGGAATTTCAACACAGGGAGTTGAGTTCCAGAGTTCATGTTTACCCTCTTTATATATCACTGACCTGATTTGCTAATGTCTTTGGGTTTTTTTAGGAATTTTTATTTGTTTTCTTCAATGAGATTGGCTTTTTTTTTTCCTCTTTCTCTCTCTCTCTTTTTTCTTTTCCTTTGGTATCAAGATTTTACTGGTCTTATAGGGTTAGCTGAATAGCACTGCCTCTTTTTCTGTTCTCTAGAGAAGTTTGTATAAGAAGAATGTTTTATTCCTTGAAACACATTGGAGGAATCATCTGTAAAACCATCTGAGTCTGGAGATTTTTTTCCCACTTGGGATGGGGAATTTTTTTTTAGCTATTGGTTTAGTTACTTTAATTGTTATAGGACTATTCAGGCATTCTATTTCTTCTTGAAACAGTTTTGCTAAATTTATTTTTATAGGAATTTGTTCATTTCTTAAGTTGAAAAATTTACTGGCATAAAAGTTTTCATTGCATCCTTTTACCTTTTTTGATTTCTCCTAGATTTGTAGTTATAACCTCTCCTTCTTTCTTCATATTATTTCTTTGTGGATTTATTCTTGTTCCCTTGTTTGACCTCACCAGATATTTAGTGAGATCAAAGAACAGGCTTTTGGCTTTGTTGATCTTCATTATTCTCATGTTTCCTTTTCATTAATTTATGTTCTTTATTATCATCTCATATTGGTGGAAGCGGTTAATACGTTGTTCTCTCTTAACTTTTTATGTGGAATTTCATTGAATTTCAACTTTTTTTTAGTTTCAGTGTAAGTATTTCAGGCTATAAATTTCCCCCAATGTATATACAGTACCTTTTACTGCATCCCCAAGTTTTAGTCTTTACTAAACATTTTTATTGTTTTCTGTATTTAAAATTTTTTTAGTTCTAAATATTTTAATACCCTTTATGATTTTTCTCCTTCATCTGTGAGTTATTATGGAATTTAGCCTTGTTATTTTTTATTTCTATTTTAATGGTAATATTATTAAAGAACTTGATCTGTATGATATCTGTTCTTTGAAATCTACTGAGAACTACTGCATGATCTAGACCTTTTCATTTTTAAATATTCAATATATGCTTAAGAAGAATGTGTTTCCCAATGTTGGATGCAAGCTTCTAAATATACATGAAGGTTATTAATTGAGCTTTTCAAATCTTCTTTATATTCACTATTTTTTTAACTGCTTGGTTTATCTATTAATGATTGAGAAATTGGATTTTCTCATGATGATGTATTCACCAGTTTTTCTGTGAAGTTCTAGCATTTTTTTTTCTAATATATTTTGAGTCTATCTTATGGAATGCACAAAAATTTAGAGTGGAATTTCTTTCTAGTGAATAGAATTTTATCATTGCTATAATCATGCTTTTTCTATTTAAGTCTAGATTTTGTTTCATAATTTGGTATAACAAACTGCATTTAACTGGTGAACTTACTCCTTTTATACTTATTTTGATTGCTAATCTATATGCACATGTTTCTACCACTTTTTGTTTTCTGTTTGTCATGCATTTTTTATGCTTATCTTTATCTCCTTCCTCACTCTTTTTTTAATTGGAGTAAAGTTGATTTACAATGTTGTATTACTTAGTGCTATACAGCAAAGTGAGTCAGTTATACGTATACACATATCCACTCTTTTTTAGATTCTTTTCCCGTATAGATCATTAGAGAGTATTGACCAGAGTTCCCTGTGCTATACCGTAGGTCCTTATTAGTTTTCTATTTTATATATAGTAGTGTGTGTCTGTCAATCCCAATCTCCCACTTATCCCTCCCCACTTCCCCACTGGTAACCATAAGATTGTTTTCTACATATGTAACTCTGTTTCTGTTTTGTAAATAAGTGCATTTGTACCACTTTTTTAGATCCCACATATAAGCAATATCGTATGACATATGTCCTTCTCTGTCTGACTTACTTTGCTTAGTATGACAGTCTCTGGGTCCACCCATGTTGCTACAAATGGCATTCTTTTTATGGCTGAGTTTGCTCTTTTTTTAAATTGTGGCAAAATATATATAACATAAAATTTCTATCCTAATCATTTTTACGTGTATAATTAAGTAGTGTAAGGTACATCACGTTGTTGTGAAACCAATCTCCAGAATTCTTTTCGTCTTGAAAATTTTTTTCTTGATTTTTAATTGAGGTTTTTGTTTTCTTGTTCTCATTTTGCTCACTACTCATTCTAGCAGTTTCTAGTAGTATTGAATTTTATCGTGCATATTTAACAAAGTCTAAATTTAATATCTTTTTTTAAAATTTAATATCGGGCTGGCCAAAAAGTGCCTTTGGTTTTTAAGTAAAAATAAAAGACTTATTTTTCATTTTCACCAAGAACTTCATTAACAACGTATTCAACCTTTTGTCCCACTACCTTCTGCCATTTTTCAGGCAACTTCATAATTCCATCTTCCCAAAACTTTTTATCTTTTTGAGCAAAGAACTCTTCTGGGTGCCTTTTACAGTCTTCCAGGGAACTGAAATTTTTTCCATTAAGAGAATTTTGTGAAGACTGAAATAAATGGAAATCTGAAGGTGCAATGTCTGGTGAATACGTTGGGTGAATCAGAACTTCCCAGCCAAGCTGTAACAGTTTTTGCCTGGTCATCAAAGAAACCCGCGGTCTTGTATTACCCTGATGGAAGGTTATGCGGTTTCTGTTGACTAATTCCAGATGCTTTTTGTTGAGTGCTGCTTTCAGTTGGTCTAATGGGAGCAGTACTTGTTGGAGTTAATTGTTTGGTTTTCCGGAAGGAGCTCATAATAGAGGACTCCCTTCCAATTTCACCATATACACAACATCATCTTCTTTGGATGAAGCCCATCCTTTGGTGTGGTTGGTGGTGGTTCATTTCACTTGCCCCACGATCTCTTCTTTTCCGCATTGTTGTACAGTATCCACTTTTCATCGCCCATCACAATTTGCTTTAAAAACGGTATGTTTTCGTTACGTTTAAGTAGAGAATCGCAGGCAGAAATACGGTCAGGAAGGTTTTTTTTGCTTAACTTATGTGGAACCCAAACATCAGAGCAATTCACATAACCAAGCTGGTGCAAATGATTTTCAGCGCTTGATTTGGATATTTTGAGTATGTCGACTATCTCCCGCGTGGTATAACATTGATTGTTCTCAGTTAATGTCTCGATTTGATCACTGTCAACTTCAACTGGTCTACCTGACTGTGGAGCATCGTCCAGCAAGAAATCTCCAGCATGAAACCTCGCAAACCACTTTTGACACGTTCAGTCAATCACAGCACCTTCTCCATACACTGCACAAATCTTCCTTTTGTGTTTCAGTTGAGTTTTTACCTTTCTTGAAATAATAAAGCATAATATGCTGAAAATGTTGCTTTTTTCTTCCATCTTAAGTATTAAAATGGCTACACAAAAATTCACCAGTTTTGATAAGTTTTTTTTTTAATGTATACTATTATGACAGGTGTCACAAGAAAATCTAACAAAATTGTTTTGAATGAGGTTAAAGACAGCTAAGCGCTACTAGAGCCGTCTTACGGGAAAAACCGAATGAACCTTTTGGCCAACCCAGTATCTTAAACTGTTGCTCCCAAACACTTTGAGGACCTTTAACTCTATTGCTTCTTCCCAACTACTGTGCTTTTTTGGACCAATATGGTAGTTATGTCCTTTTTGTTTACTGTACAAATTAGACAATAATACAATCTTATATACAAGTTTGCTTACATTCATATTTATGTTTACCAATTTCTTAGCCCTCCACTTCTCTTTCATTAGACCCTCCTTCTAAAATCATTTTTCATTTTCCTGAAATAAATATTTAGAGGTTCCTTTAAGTTCAGATCTGGTTGTGGTAAGCTCTGTCAATTTGTATTTGTAAGAATCTCATTATTTTGTAGCCTCATACTTCAAAAGTAATTTTTCTGCGTGTACAATTTTAATTATTATCTCTTTAAAAATATGTCCTCCTGTTACTATTGTTACTTCTTAGATGTCTGCTCTAATTATCTTTTTTTTTCCTTTTTGAGGATGGGAAATAGGTGATTTGTGTTTTTACCCTCTGATTTCTTTTTTTTTTTTTTAATTTTTATTTAATGTTATGTACTTTATTTTTTAAAGTTTCTGGGTTTGAGTTTCTTCTTATTTTTCTTCATAAAGGTAGAGCTTTCTATATTGGTGGATTCATGTTTTTAATGTTAATACTTACATTTTTTCATTTCTAAATGCTCTATACAATGTTTTATAAACAGTTTTTCATAGTCTTTTTGCCTCATCATTTTAGTCTTCTGTCATTTTCCTATTTTTATGATTTCCTTTTATTTCTCCAAACATTTCATGTATAGCAATCTTATCAGTATCTGATAGTTCTAATATCCAAATACCATTGGGGTTTATTTTTATTGTTTGTAATGTTTGCTTGTGGTTGTTTGTCCTTTGGGTGTTTGGGAAATCTATGGTTGTGAGCTCATATGCTCTTAAAAAAAAAAAAAAGATATCATTGAGACTTTTCCTCAAAGAAGGTTTGCATTTCCTTTTGCTGGGAGGCAGGTGGTTCTACTGACCCAAGTCTACTTCAGCCCCTTCTAAGTTTCTCACTTTAATTAGCTTTTCTCTTTGCTGCTGGCCCAAGAGTTAGTCTCCACATCAAATACAGCCCTTGTTTTTATCATTTGTAATCATTTGATAGAATTTTTTAAAATCTCACAGATATCCATTAAATTTCACAAAATCTTTATCTTTACCATTGTATCTTGTATTCCTATACCTTTATTTGTTTATTTATTTATTGAAACTAAGGTACTGGAAGGTTAAATCAGTTGTTCCTTTGCAGTTAGCATGTTAGCATAAGGAATTGAGAATATGAACAGAGCACCATGCTCCTAGTATCTGTTCAAAAGTAGTTCATTTCTTTTAATTTTGTTCTGAGGTGAATAATTTTGGCTCTTCTCGACTTCATGATAAATATTTTGATGGCCGAATTTGGTCCCTAGGGTGCAGAATTGGTAACTTATATTCTTTTTACGAAACTGTAGGAACTAGTCCAGGCTAGTGAGCGATTAAAAAACCAATCCAAAGAGCTGAAAGACGCACACTGTCAGAGGAAACTGGCCATGCAGGAATTCATGGAGATCAATGAGCGGCTAACAGAATTGCACACCCAAAAACAGAAACTTGCTCGCCATGTCCGAGATAAGGAAGAAGAGGTGGACCTGGTGATGCAAAAAGTTGAAAGCTTAAGGCAAGAACTGCGCAGAACAGAAAGAGCCAAAAAAGAGGTTAGTAGTCAGGCAAATTTGTAGTGCCCGTGGGGTAGTGATTAAATCTGCTTTTTCAGACTAGTGAAATAATATATATTTCATTCTTTAATTTTTGAAAAGAGTTTTTTTTTTAGTTTGGTAATAATATTTAATATGAATTTCAACATTTGAGTTATCTATCTATTGCAAGGTAAATTCCCATGGGGAGACATTTTATTGGAGAAACAATTATAACCATGAAATCTGCTTTTTTCATTTTATTTTAAAGCTGGAAGTTCGTACAGAAGCTGTAGCTGCTGAAGCATCTAAAGACAGGAAATTGCGCGAACAGAGCGAGCTTTATTCTAAGCAACTGCAAAATGAATTAGAGGGACTGAAGGTATCGTTTGATTTCATATTTATGAAGTTGAATTAATTTTCTCCTCTTTCTGCTTAACAGGACTATGTTATGTTCTCTTTTTGGTGTAGAGTAAAAACTAGCTATCCTTCAAACATAGTATTCTTAATTCTCATTCTTATCAATAGGAAGCTGGTATAGACTTCTTAATCATGCTGTAAGGAAAGGGAAGGCTGTATTTAGTGGGGAGAAGAAATCTTTCAGGAAGGAGTTAAAATATTTATGAAGGGGACTTCCCTGGTGGCGCAGTGGTTGAGAGTCCGCCTGCCGATGCAGGGGACACGGGTTCGTGCCCCGGTCTGGGAAGATCCCACATGCCGCGGAGCAGCTGGGCCCGTGAGCCATGCCACTGAGCCTGCGCATCCGGAGCCTGTGCTCCGCAACGGGAGAGGCCGCAACAGTGAGAGGCCCGCGTTCCGCAGGAAAAAAAAAAAAATTATGGGGGCTGCATACCTTGACAAGATATATTGGTAATCTCATGGGAGGCAGGGTTAGATGTCCAGATCCTCTGTCTTGTTAAGTGACTTAGGAGAGGCTCAGAGGTAGCTTTGCAGATACTTCTGTTAAGTGGGATGAGATGATAATTGGCCTGGATTTAAACATCTCAGCAGAAGTGCTTAGCAAGGGAAATCTTTGTGCCAGCTCTAGAGTTGGACTATCTGGTTTTAAAGCCTAGCCTCATAAGTTACCAGCTGTGTAACACTGGACAAAACATTTAATCTCTTTGGACCTTAATTTCTCATTTGTAAAACCCTCTCATTGGTTTCACGTAAGGAGTACATATACATGTATGTTAGCTGCCACATCATAAGTGGTCAGTAACTATTAGGTATAATAATAATATTATATATGTCAAAGTGAGAGAATTAGGATTAATTGACATCGTATTTCTATAACACTAAATTATAATCTGAATATGATGTCTGCCTTTTCTTGACTCTACCCTTTGCATATCCCAGTTCCTCTGCATTGTCTGCCAGCCACCACCTCCACACGCTCCTTGCGTGCCTAGTCTAGTATCTTTTTCATCCAGCAAATATAAGAATGAAGTTGAATGTCATCTCAGGAAGTCTAAATATTCCTTATTCTCTGCTGCTATAGAATTTTGTTAATAACTTTACAATAGCTCTTATTATAATTATTTATTCACAAAATGTCCTCCACCTAAACTGTGACTTAGCTTATTGAAAACATAGACTGGTATATTATTTGTTTTGTTTTGATTGATCATGATTGCACAGTCTTGGTTAGCTTTCCAAAATAGTTATGTTTCTTCTATAAATAACCTATGCTTCTAGAGCAGGATTATAGAGCAGGTGTATAGAAGTCATTACATTACCGTCTCAAATAACTTTCAGTCAGGGACTACTTTGTTTCCAGCACTATCTTAGGTGATTTTGGTAAGCACAAGAATCACAAAGTGCAAACTGGAGGAAATCTTAGAGATTATTTGCATTTGAGGAAAGCGAAACTCAGATGAGTTTAGGATTTTATAGTCTTAAATGATAGAGTACAGTTTAAACCCAGGTTTGCTAATTCTTAGTACTATTCTGTCCACTAGTTTTATTTTTATTTTTTTCTGACAAACACTGCTCATTGAAAACTCTGAGTCACATGTGTTTACCTACATATCAGACACTCATATTCTCTTGTATCATTTACAGATTTGGGAAATTTGGGATAATAATAAAACTACCCAATAAATTAGTTAATGCATTTAAAATGCTTAGCCCGTGGCCTGGCACAAAGTTAAGGCTCAATAACTGTTAGCTATTATTATTATCATACTACCATTTCTCTAAGATATTTTCTAAAAGTGGAATTTCTTGATTTAAAGGTATACACATGTAAATTTTGAAACTTATTTTGGCTCCTTTAAAAGGTTGTAGGAATCTTTACTTCATTAAGAATACTCTTCAATAGAATTGAAGAGAAAAAAAGTTCTTGAATAAAAGTTAGAAACTTTAATACCCCACTTCCAAAAATGGATAGAACATATAGACAGAAGATAAATAAGCATATAGATGTCTTGATCAACAGTATAACCAACTAGAACTAACAGATACGTATATAGAACCCTCCACCCAACAACAGCAGAATACATATTCTTCTCATGTGCAATTGATACATTCTCCAGGATAGACCAGATGTTAGGCCACAAAATAAATCTCAATAAATGTAAAAAGATTGAGATCACACAAAGTATCCACTCCAATCACAATGGAATGAAGCTAGAAATCAATAGCATAAGGAAAACTGGAATGTTAAAAAAATATGTGGAAATGAAATAAGATACTCTTAACCAACCAGTGGGTCAATGAAGAAATCACTAGGGAAATTAGAAAATACCTAACTTTATATCTTACAGAACTAGAAAAAGAAGAGCAAAGGAAACAAAGCTAGCAGATGGAAGGAAATAATAAGGATTAGAGCAGTGTTCAATAAAATGAGAACAGAATAATAATAATAAAGGGAATGAAACCAAAGTTCATTCTTTGAGAGATCAACAAAATTGACAGACCTTTAGCTAGACTGACAGAGAGAGGGAGGAAGGGAGGAAACAAATAAGTAACATCAGAAATGAAAGTGGATATTAATACCTATCATCAGAAAGCAAAAGGATTATAAGAGAATACTATGAACAACTCTGTGCCAACAAAGTAAATAATCTAGATGAAATGGACAGATTGAGAAGCACACAAATTACCTAAATGCAAGACAGAATAGAAAGTCTCAACAGACTTACAACAGGCAAAGAGATTGAATTGGTAATAAGAAACTTCCTGACAAAGAAAAGCCCAGGATAGCTTCACTAGTGAACTGAACCAAACTTTTAGGAAGAATTAACACCAATTCTTCTTAAACTCTTCCACAGAATACAAGAATAGGGAACACTTCCTAACTCATTCCATAGGCCAGCATTGCCATAATACCAAAGCCACATGAATACCACAAGAAAAGAAAATTACAGACCAGTATTCCTAACGAATATAAACGTATGAATTCTCAACAAAACACCAGCAAACCAAATCCAAAGCCATATTAAAAGGATTATAAACCATGGCAAAGTGGGGTTTATCCCAGGAATGCAAGGGTGGTTGAATGTAAAAAAATAAATCAATGTAATACATCACATTGAAAGAACCAAAGGGAGGGGGGAACTGCATGATCATCTTAATTGATGCACATAAGTCATTTCACAAAATTCAACATCCTTTCATGATAAAAACTCCCAGAAAACTAGGAATAGAAGGGAATATACTCAACATGATCAAAGGCATTTATGAAAAACCCATAGCTAACATCATACTCAATGGTGAATGACTGAAAATTTTTTCCCTGAGTTTAGGAATGAGACAAGGATGCCCATTTTCACCACTGCAATTAACAGTATGCTGGCGGTTCTAGCCAGAGGAATTAGATAAGAAAAGGAAATAGAAGGCATCCAAACTGGAAAAGAAGAAGTAAAACTACCTCTATTTGCAGATCACAGGATCCTATATTTTAAAACTCCAAAGAATACTACCAGTTTCGAATCCAGTATATAAGAACTTCAGAAGTCACCACTTTGTTCTAACAAGAAGTAAAAAGCTGAACAAATTGAAAAATCAACAACTCTTCTTAGACCTGTAAGAGAAGTAATATCACAGAACCAACTGCTGTCCTCCAAACTGGAGAGAGTGACAGGCAAATAGAGAGAATCACAGCTTATGAGATCAGGAACCCTTGTAGGAAATCAGTACCAGTGTAGGGAGACCTGAACTGTTATTGAAAAATTGCTAGAGGCTCAGTGCGGACAAGTTTGAGAGAGAAAAACTCCAGGGGAGCCTCGTCATTGGGGAGCCCTGACAGTTTCATCAGTTTTACATCCTGGAGCTCTACGAGGTTTTCACAGTGAATATCAGAGAAAAATCCCCTTGTACTAACAATAGGGGTAACAATTTTGAATGTGCCAGAGCATTCTGTTCTTCTTAACAAGGTCTATCTTCAGGAGAAACTCTTCAACCAGAATCTAACTTGCTGGGATTTTAGCAGACCTAACTGACTTGAGGGAAGGGAAATATTCAGCCCCAGCCCACTCTAGTCACCCTGTCAAAACAGGTAAGTGGGGGAGAGAAACTGACAAGGTTGTCTTAAGTTCACAGTCCAGAAGCACAGGCTCAATAACATACTGATATCCAATCTTAGGACTATAGAACACTTCCCCTCCCACCACAGTTTGCAACCACATTACTAATAGCCTATTTACAGCAGTTCCTTTTACCCAGTACATCATGTTCACCTATCAACAAAAAATTACAAGACATACTGAAAGGCAAAAAACACAGAATAGAGCAAACATCACAGCCAGACTCAGGGATGTTGAAATTATCAGGCCAGGAATTGAAAACAACTGTGATTGATATAATAAGGACTTTAATGAAAAAGTAGAGAGCATGGAAAAATAAATGGGCAGTGTAAGCAGAGAGATGTAAATTCTAAGAAAGAACCAAAAAGAAATGCTAGACATGAAACATATTGTAACAGAATGAAGAATGCCCTTTATGAGCTTTTAGTACACTGGATACAGCTGAAGAAAGAATCTCTGAGCTTGAGGATATCAAAATAGGACTGCCAAAACTGAAAAGCAAAGAGAAAAAAGTGAAAAAACAGAAAAGAATATCCAAGTATTGTGAAACATTTACAAAAGTTGTACCATACGTATAATGGGAACACTAAAAGGTGAACAGAGAAAGGAACAGAAGAACCATTTGGAACAATAATGACTGAAAATTTCCCCCAAATTAATGTCAGACACTAAACCACAGATCCAGGAAGCTCAAAGAACACCAAAGAGGATAAATACCCAAAAAATTACACCGAGACATGCCACTTTCAAATTATAGATAAAGATAAAAATCCTGAAAGCAGTCAGAGGTAAAAAAAATACCTTACCTGTAGAAAATATAAGGTAAGAATTACATTTGACTCTTCCTCTTCAT